TGTGTGTGTGTGTGTGTGTGTGTGTGTGTGTGTGTGTGTGTGTGTGTGTGTGTGTGTGTGTGTGTGTGTGTGTGGTGTAACACTTCTGTTCCTAAAAAGGGAATAACAGTGAAGAGATATTAATGAGGCACTTTTGTGGAAAACTGCTAATGAAACCTAATATTGTAAGGCCTTGATTCAGCAAGACACTTGTTCAGTTGCCTAACTTCAAGCATGTGAGTAATTCAATGGATGCCTAATTGATACTTTTTTATCTTTTTTCTTAGAACAGGAACATTATTGAAAACATGCACACACACACTCTCTCTCTTTCTCTCTCAACAGCACTTTTCACATGCTTGAAGTCTGGCACCTGCTTTTGTACCTTGCTGAATCGAGGTGTTAACTTATTTTATCATTAAATTGCTGATTATCAAATAGGTATCCTCCTTCTATGCACAGATATAAAAAGACCTAGTATTTTCCACCTAAGCAGTCCCTACCCTATATCACATTATCCTATAAAAGCTTTTTATAATCAAGATGAATTAAAATTATACAGGTGGTGCTGAATGCTTTTTAAACGTTGAGCTCCACTGCCTCCAAAGTCTCAATAACTACGTGTATGGATGGGCAACTGTTCACATTGAATGGCATCCTTGAAAGAATTTATCTCCTGCTCTCAATAACCTTTTATGAGAAATATTTTGCCATTATGGCTTTCAAAACCGATCACTACAGGATACGTACCATGTATGTATTAAAATACTGCGTATATCATGTCTTGTAACTATTATTGCTTGAAGGTTTACTGTGTGAGGAGGATATAAATGAATGCAGGTCCAACCCGTGTGTGAACGGAGCACTTTGTGTTGATGACATCAATGCTTATCACTGCACATGTGCAGAAGGATTCACAGGTAAGCTGTATTTCTTGATTGATTGTTTTTATTTATTGTAACCAGAAAAATTTTACCTTATGCTCACTAAGAAGTACAGTGTAATTCAAAATTATCTCCATAGATTTGCTATGGGTGTGCATTGATCTAGGCATGTGTAGTATTTAGATGAGAAGGTCATGGTCTGGTGGCTTCGAACACATGACTGGGAATCAGGAGATCTGGTTTCTGTTCCCAACTGTGTATGAGCTTGAGCAAAGAATAGTGATATTCATCTTGATGAAATACTTCTGAGTTGATATACAAGTGTTAAATACTTTTATTATTTATTTATTTATTATTATATAGCAGCATATCCATGGGCCAAAGCCTCCCCATCTCTGTTAGAAGTTGCTTCCCATCCCATTTAGCTCTGCAACTTTCTGTTGCTTTGTGTCATGTTAAGGAATGATTTTCTTTTCCTGGGTTTCCAGATTGCCACAAAGCTTTGACTTTAAATCTTACGCAGTTTCTGCAACTTTGCATATCTCACAACTTGAAACTTGATGCACAACTAAACTCCTGGATGGTTTTCTTAAAAAAGTAAAAGGTTCCAACCTCATTTCCATTTTAGCAATACGTTCTCTTCTCTGTATCTCTCATCATTTACTCAGAATGGTGTCTCAGCTTCTGATTGTGTGTGTGCTTTTAATATATGCTTGGGGCCCATCCTGCACTCTTCACACACACAACTTCCTGGGAATGTATGGGTTCATGGGAATTTTGGTGATGAAAGATCCAGCCCTTAACCCATATTGGAACCTGAGTATCGTTACTTTACCACTTACAAACTGACAGATGAGACATACTTCTTATTTGAAGAGCCCAACTTACTAACAAAGTTGGTAGCGCTCATTTCTGTACATTCCCAGAAAAAGTTTGTTTTTTAAAATGTTGACAAATGTGTAATGAGGGTTTTATTTCTATAACTGTGAAGCTGATTCCTGCGTCTCCTCTACAGTTGCATCCAATCAATGCAATATACTTTATGCTGAGGAAAAAAGCCAGCCACTCAGCTAATCTGTTGTTTGCCGTTCCCCAAAGAATTCTGTATAATTTTAATTGTCTTCTGGATTTGTCAGAGACACCGAATCCTGGAAATTGGTTCCTGATTGTTCCTAACAGATTTTGAATCTTTTTAAATTGAATGTAAACCTTTGCTTTGGTCTCTCTCTTCCCAGGCACTCACTGTGAAACGGAGGTGAATGAATGCCTTTCAAACCCATGTCAAAACAAGGGCATTTGTGAGGATCGGATCAGGAGTTTCCACTGCAAGTGCCTTCCTGGGTTTACTGGCGTCTTGTGTGAAAAAAACATTGATGAGTGTCTCAGCAGACCCTGTAAGAATGGAGCCACATGCAAAGATGGTATCAACAACTTCAGGTGAAAAACTGCTGACGGACTTCCTGTAATAAGCAAAGCCAGATGTGCTGCAGTGTCTGGGTTTCCCCAAAGATTTTAGCAAAGCTATAGGGCTAATCTGTCAACTGGTCTCAACATGCACCCCAGTGTGGGAGAAAGGTGGATATTTAAAAAGAAAAAAAATGTGATGGTGTTATTTTAGCTTTTGTTAAAGGTGTGATAGATAGTGAGGAGAATGTGGCGGGGGAGGGGTAGAAAGTGAGAGTGCCTTAGGGCTGCCACCCTTACAGTGTGAGGAAACTTACAGGGTACTATTTTCCTGAATCAGTTTCCCCCCAGGCTGTATTGGCATGGGGAAGGGGGGAAGGGGACCCGTGGCGTTTTTTACTTCCTATTACAGCGTTGAACAATGATCATCAATTTGTGTATCCCACATGATCAAGTTTCCTGTGATTGTTGGGCTGGGGGAAGATATGGGCATTGATGGACCTCAGCCCTTCCTGTCTTCTATTTTTATGTTTCATCAAGATGAACCTGGACCAAAAAGTTTGTTTCTGGATCCAGATCAGAACTTCTCTGGTGTTTATGGGTGTTCTGCTCTGGTCCATTTTACAGAAAAGGACCCGTCGTGAATTTCAAGGGTCCATACTATTGGAGTGCCTCTCTAATGTTCTGGCTTTTTGTAATGTAACTGGATCTCTCGTGGAAACAAAGAGTGCCTCCAGCCTACAGATGTCTGAGCTTTAAAAGCGGCCACAATAGAAGAATGTTTTTTGTTTTCATCCTCAGGTGTCAATGTGTGACGGGGTACACAGGCCTGCACTGTGAAGTGAACATCAATGAGTGTGGATCCAATCCCTGTTTAAACCAAGCTACCTGTGTGGATGCCTTGAACTCGTACATTTGTAAATGTCCCCCTGGCTTTACAGGCAGCAGGTGTGAAACAGGTACACAGGACCACAGTGTCAGCAAAAGGTGGCTTGACAAAGCTTCTGGGCAAGAATGATGCCAGCTGAGTTAATACCATATGGCTTCTCTATACAGCAGCTAGCAGGGTGGGGTTTCAATCCTGAGCAAAGCCGTTGCAAGCTACAGCAGTACAAATAATATTAATAATAAATTTCAAATGTAGCCTGTAAATACAAAGTAACGTCCTGCATGCTAGCAAACACTATTTTGATAATGTTTTTCTTTGCTTAAAAGCACAGTACCCTTTCTGCCGTGCACTATAGGCCTGTGAAGTTCAATTTCAGCTTCTTTCACGTGTCCTAGTTATTAAGCTCTTTGTACTTCACATACGACTCATGATGCTTTGCATCTGAAAGTCACAGATATCGTGGTAACAAAGGGCATAAGATTTCCACTATACAGTCTTAAAGTTAACTGGTCAAATTCCAACCTGGTGAGATTCCTTTGACTACAGCAGAGACAAATTTGACTCAATAACATTTCTGTTTTAGACAAGACATTAACCTTTGATACCTATGTGGTGGATCTTCAGATGGAAGTTAAAGATCCAATGGCAATTTTTAGGAAGGGGCAGTAGACATGCTGGTCATCTGTGCATCATCTCCTCTCTCCGTAGAACAGTTTCTAGTGTCCAGGGCTTTATGAGAACTACTACTGAATGCATAATGGGTGCTGCATTTGCACAGAACATGCATTTTATTTCTTTGTAAAGCACCTTGCAATACCTTGAACGTGAAAGACACAAATTCTATTCCATAACTGCACAATATACTTTTTAATTCCATAAAGAACCATGCATCTATTTGGTCCCATTTTATCCACAGGTCCTATCAGGCACTTTTGGATTTAGGATGGCCAGATGGACATATTAGTTGTATGAGAGAGGACCAAAAGGCTCATCCAATGTTGTGAAAGGTTCATGTTCATTATCTACCAGAAAATTACAAGTATTTTTTTTTTGTGCTTCTTAAACCCAGCATCTTTTCTAGGTATTGAAGGCTCCATGTGAACACCTTGTAGGCTAGAAATAAAATATTTCTAGTTCGGTCCAGTTGAAAGCAAATACTTTTAGCCTGGTTGTGGTTAGTTTTATTGCATTTGATTAAGCTTCATTTAATTTGTTGATACATTTGCACGAATGTAGATCTGAAAATTGTTCTTGTTTGTTGCAGAACAGTCCTCCGGTTTTAACCTGGATTTTGAAGTGTCTGGTATCTATAGCTATGTCATGCTTGACAATATTCTCCCATCACTTGGTGATATCACCTGTGCATTCTGGATGAGATCAACTGACACTACTAATTATGGGACTCCAATTTCTTATGCAGTGGAGAATGGAAGTGACAATGCATTTCTGCTAACAGATTACAATGGGTAAATCAATCAATAGTAGTATTATCTTTCTTCCTAGATTATAACTGCATTTTAATTGATAGAGAGGAGTCTGAACTAAAACACCAAATTCCAATGATACATGTCTTTGGGGAAGTTCATAGCTGAATCTGAATCAAAACTGTGTAGCTGGAGTTGCCCTTTCTTACTGATTTTTCCCTGTGATTAATTCCAAAACCACTTTTGGGGGCATTGGTGTCTGCAACAAAGTAGCGATGCTCAGAAGGCAGAATATTTCTTCCTGTCTTTTTTTACACAGAATAAAAAAGATGTATTTAATGTAATATTTACATAAAAAAGGAGCTTATCAGCAGGCATATTGATTGCTGTGACCCTCTGGCCATGGTCTGCGAGATACCAAGAACAACTCAAGTTTAGGAATCCACTGAAAAACATGACTGAAACTCCTTTTTGTGGTAATATTTACAGAGCTAAACTATGTGGAAATTGCCCCTTACTTCACTGTCTGTGAGTATGATCATGATGACCCATGTCTTCTCTTTGGGAACAAATATGGCAGCAGGGATTTCCTGTGTGAGCTGGGGAAACTTAACCTCCTTCAGTAAATTACTTTTCCTATGTAGGGAGTAGCCAGCAGGAAGAAAACTTTATTTTCTTGAAAGAGAATGTTATATCTATTAAACCTCTGCATGTCATTGAATGTGCCTTGGTATCTGCTTTTTATGCAGCTGGGTTCTTTATGTGAATGGGAAAGAGAGGATCACAGATTGTCCCTCTGTGAATGACGGCAACTGGCATCACATTGCAGTCACCTGGACGTGCATGAATGGAGCCTGGAATGTGTATATTGACGGGAAGTTGTCTGATGGAGGCAGAGGTCTATCTGTAGGATCAAAAATCCCTGGTATATCTTGTTAACATTTGTTTGGTTCTGTTTCTTTTCTTTATTATTGTAGGGCGGCTTGGAAGGTTTTGTTTATTTCTGTGTTCAGCATTTATGTAGAACTGAATTCTTTCATCCTTCTTCAGGCTGGGTAGTACCTTAGTCCATGAGTAGTCTCTCATTGCAACCAATGGGAATATTCATGGAGTAAGGTCTCATACAGGCTGCGTAAGGATGGCCGAATCCTGCCCATAGAAGAAATGCATTGACTAAATTGACTAGAGAATGTTTTAGTGAGAATTGATCTCATAACTGGATGTCTGTGTTAAACTCAGGAGTGATTTTGGTTTGGAAGCGTGTACTTAGAGGTTTTTTCCTCATAATTTTCAGGCCTATTTTTGGAGTTTAGTTTCAGTAATATTTCTTCCTCACAGTATATGACATGTTTTTTACATTTGCTAGAATATGAATGACAGACCTGTTTTATGTCCACTTCTTTCATTGTTTCCTTTGATATGAGGAAGAAATTAGGATTCATTTATTGTTAGAACTTAATCCTTTCCCCACTGAAATCAGTGACAGAACCCCCCATGACTGCAACTGGAGGATGATCAAGCCCTTAACTACGTGCTTGAAAATGAAAGACACTTAACCAGTTGCATGACATACAGTATTTGGAGTGTTTTCCATTCAGAGCAACTGTCGCATTGTAGCGTTAAAAGAACATGCAATATGTTATTGCATGGGAGAACCGAAGAGCAGTGGAAGGTCCATGCTTTCCAGAGAAAAGTACTGGTCATTTAAAATCTTTTAACTTCATAGCCCGCAGAATGAATATACCATTTTAGAACAGTCTTCTCAGAAACATGGTTTCTATTTTTAATGGTGAAGCTACTGCAGGGTTCTGTGCTCCCTCTGTCCATTCCCAACCACACTGTGGCTCTCTCCGAAACCTGGGCACAAGGCAGAAAGGCATGTGGCACCTCTGTCCTCACTCGCATGCCTGCGTGATGCCACCCACAAACTGGGTCTCCAATGTTAGTACTAATATTAGATGAGATCAAACAGAATTTTCTTGTGTGGGGCGTTACAGCGTTTACCATCAAGTCTTACATGTGGTTCAGTTGTTTGGAATCAAATATTCCTTTTTTCTACATGGCATTTTAACTCTTTGAATAGTTTTGAAACATTGAGAAGGGATCATTTAAAGCAACAGTTAACCAACTGTTACTGTGAAATATCCTATGCCAATTAATAATTCATAATTACATTATGAATTGTGTTGTAATATGATTCACAGTAAAGCCTTGTTTAAAGGTAATCTCTGAGAAGAAAAGGCCTTTCTTAAACAACTGCTTAAAAGAATCCCCAGTTTCCAGTAGAGGTTAATTTAAATTTTAAGATCACTGCTACTAGGTCACCAATTTGTGTGGGTTCTTTGGGTATTTGACAGTTTTTGCTATAAAGTATTTACCATCATCAACCACTGTACAGAGCCGTAACATTTTCATTTTAATTTGCGTTTAGGTGGTGGTGCACTAATACTTGGACAAGAGCAAGACCAGAGAGGAGAAGGATTCAATCCAGCAGAATCTTTTGTGGGCTCTCTTAGCCAGCTCAACATCTGGGACCATGTCCTATCCCCACAGGAGGTGAATATTTACTTAATAGTTTGGAATCTGAGCAAATGAATGAAAACTTAAACTAGTTTTTAATGCATTTTTGCCTAATGGGCATGATCCAACTCCCACTGAAGTTAATGGGAATCTCATCGGGCATAGCTGTATGTCAACGTATATGGAGTAAGCTTAAAATTGAAGATTTTGGCAGAGCCATTCCTCAATAACCAACTCAATGGGGGAGAGCGAAAGGGAAGGAGAAAACATACACAAAATATATTGTAACCATAGTAGAGCCCTCTACCAGAGAAGGGAGGAAACTCCATAAAATCTACTAGAGAACTTGCTCTGCAGGTCTCATTTACATGGGAAGCACTAAGGCTTGATCCTGCTTCTGCTGAAGTCATTGACAAAACTGCCATTAACTTCAGTGGCAGATGATCCAAGTCAAAGAACTACAGTGCTAGGCACTATGGAAAACCCCAAGGTACGTAGATAGAATGGAAGCTGTGAATGCTCAGTACCTCTGACAATCAGGCCACTTTTATTTAGGTACCAAAAATACGGATTTAGGTGCCTGACTTTAAGCCCTGAGGTTCAGAAATGTAGATCCTGCTGTTGGAAAGTAAAGTCTAAGGATCAATGTTCAGCATGAGCTGGGACTCACAGGAACAGATCTCTGGCTGTTTTTCCTCTCAGAAGAAAACAAGTACCTGCTCTTCATCTGATTTTACTTTTTTTAATTTTCTCCATTTTGCTTTTTAAAAAATAATAATAAAATTTAAAGGTAGAAGAGATAAGAAAATAAATCTTTCAATGCAGTGTCTGACCGCCCCTGTTCTGACAGTGTGTTCATGTCTGCTTTACCTTATGCCTTTTCTGCACTTTGTGTGTTGCCGAGGGTTGTATTCTCATCTTGAATCACAGGGATTTTGGTGCATCACGATAATGTGGATGTGAGTTTGAAGAAGTGCTCATTTCCTGTGCTCGAAGTCTTCACTGCTGTGCCATTCAAGTGGGATTTTCAAAAGCCTCTCAGCCCTGGCCTAACTCCAGTCCCGTTGACAGGAATGCAGAACCCCCCCGCACTGACTTCAACAGGAGCAGAGTTAGGCCAATGAAAAGTGCTTTTGAAAATCCTACCCTTCAATTATGGTATGTCCCATAATCCATGGTCTTAATGCTAAAAAACAGATGTGTAGACCACAACAGGAAAACTTGCCAAGTACATTTCCCATAAACTTTTTACCTCTTTTGTTATGAGAGCTTGAAATAGTAAATCATCTTCATTGTCTGTATTTATTTCAAAGTTATTTTATACACTAGAGCCTTAGCCCACTGAGATTATTTGGTAAGCCTTTTCTTCCTACAAGCCTCTATGAAACGGAACGGAATAACGATGTACAGAATAGGTTGTGTGACAGACCCAGACCGGTTGGGTGCAGGAGTCTGGTCGAAGGAAAACACACTGGACACTGGATGAATAGTTTTCTGTTTCCTGAGTGACCAGGGCAGGGGCTACCCCAGAGCAGTCAGGAAGGTGCTAGAAGCAATTAAGTCAGGCAGACTCCATAAGACACCTGGAACCAATTAAGAATGGATTAGAAGCAATCAAGGGAAACAGGCTAATCAGATCACCTGAAGCCCATTTAGAACCAGCTGGGACTAGTTTCAAAGGAAACCCCTTCAGAGAGGCTGGCTGGTAGGAGCTGGGGGTAAGAAGGTGTGTTGTGGGAAGACTGAGAGAAAGACAGTGGGCAGTAAAAGACCCGGGAGAAGAAGCATGGTCAGCTACCAAGGAGGGTGCTAGGAGGGGCCGTTTGGGGAAGTAGCCCAGGAAGGGCCATAGCTCCAGTAGTATAGGAAAACTATCTGTTGCCGTTGCCAATTAGGGTCCCTGGGCTGGAACCCAGAGAAGAGGGCAGGCCTGGGTTCCCCCTGACCTCCCCCCCACACCTCTACACAAACGCTCCCTGAGAAGGAAGACCGGAACTAAAGAGGGTTCTTACACCAAACCTGTTGACTGGCGGATGATGAAGGTGGCTCAGTAAGCTGTAACCCAGGCCTCTAGGAGGGGGGAGAGGCTACATTGAGGGTCAGAGCAAACTTCTAAGGCAAACCCTAACCGCCTAGAAGCACAGGACACCCCCTCTCCCCCGAGGCAAAGCCGGTGCTCTGCCACAGTTGCCAATTGAATAAAAGAGAGGCTAAATAAATTCTTTAAGACATCTTTAGATGTACTCTTAGCTGTCCATCGACATGTTCATCTTCTTCAGGTCAAACCCAATGATTTTTCATTTTTGCTGTAGTCTGGGTTGGAGTTTTTTTGTTTTGGTTTGGTTTGTGAGTGAGGTTAACACTCATAAAAGATGCTGACCTGACAGCAGTGGAAAATGAAGTTCTCTGTACGTCAGTGAGTGGGAAGGTCCCTTCCCCTTCCCCATCCAATATCCTCTTACCTTGCGTCTGCACTAGGGCGATGTCCCCCAAAATTCAAATGGTTCCAGAACAGTTTGGTGCCCTAGCCTGGTAATTACCATTTTTCAGCAGCCTGTACTGCAGGAAAGAGTTTTTTGAAGATGCTTCAGTAAAAATAGGTCAGGCTGCTGGTGCCTGGTCCGTGCACCAGCTCCATCCAGTTGTACAATCTTTTATACTTCAGTGTAGATCAGGCCAAGCAGCGGGAAGGGAAGTAAGAGTGGTTTAAATACCTGCCCTCCTCACTGAGGGTGCCAACAAGATGCTAACTGTGACATGTGTTTGTGACGTGGACACTTATCCATCAGAAACAGGACAGAGACCAACCACCCATTTCGTGCAGGCCACTGACTTTTTTTTTTCCCCATCCAGCATGAAATATTCCACAGCTTCCGCATAGATTTGCATGTCTATTCTCCTAACCAGGCCGATCCCCTTCCAGTCCATCGCTGTGTGCAATGAGAGAGGGGGTTAAACCACACTAACGCTTTCCTCCTTGGGCTGCTCTTCCTTATTCTTCACAATTTTTAATCCAACTTTGCATGTGGCCATAGAAAACATTCCTTTTTGCACCAGGGAATTACTAGGGTTGCTCTTCAGCACAGCCATGGAATGCACTAGTTCAGTTATCAACATGTTTTCTTAATTAAACAACCATTTTCCTTCAGAGGGGTACTTCTGCCCTTCATAATAGAGGGATGGAAGCCCTTAATCTTCTTTTACTGCACATTTGTCTTGTGTAGGGCATTTATCACTTTAAACAGCTTCTTGGCTGAGAGCAATGCTTCTGTCTTAGGCCAGCTAGGGAGAGCTGTAATATACTGAATAGGGCCTTTGCAGTGAGGTTATGGCGTTACAGCTTATATAAGGGCTTTTAGACTCTATTCCAGGAACTATTTTAATTTCTTTTCCTGCAAACCACAGTGAAATCGGTGAAGGCTGATTCCAAGACCTTACTTTCCACTTTCTTCACTCAACTGTCTAATCATCCCAGGTTTTATGTATTTTTTTAAAAAGCCCATAAATACCGTCACTTTTAAAGAGAGTTAAAAATCTTTCTGTGTGTCCAACAGAACTTTAGCCTCTCTTGCAAGATGATGCACTCAGCGCACTAGGACCATGTTTGGGGTCACTGCTGAATGTCTAACATGACATCCCATGGTCACAAACCTATCTACATTTTTTTTCTACTGAACACTTAAGCTCAGGGACTGCATACTGTGCAACCGGGGCTTTTGCCCCAGATCACTTCTGCTTGGTGACTAACGCCCTGTATTTACAATCTTATGGAAAGGAAAGGACACAAAAAATAAATCAATCCTCTGTCCAACATTTACCAGGCATGTACAGGTCACAACAGCAAATGTTAACTTTTTTGAGTGTCCATGTCTCTTGAGGAAAACCACCATTAAACCAACATATATCCTTCTCCCACACTGTACAAGGATGCATGGCTCAGGTCCTGGACACAGGGCTGTATATTTCTACTTGGCCACTGAACTGCGAGGAGAAAATAAATATATAGTATTAGTGTGTTATTAACAGAAATCCATCAGTGAAGAGAACAAAACTTGCAAAAAGAGTTTTCGACACAAATCAGATGACCTCCATTTCATTGTGCGCAGGAAAGCATTGTGATTTCCCCCTTGTATCACCCAGTTGTGGTGTCTAGGTCTTCAAAATATCCATTCAGTCAAAATCTGATATCACACTATCAAATGGAGCCACCTTGCCGCCTCCTGCCAAAAGGCAGTTTGCTCAGGTTTGCAAAGCACCACTGCAGATGTGGCAATTCTAACATGGTGAGGAGTAAAGGTTTTTGCATTCCATTGCTGTTCCATAACAAATCTTCCCATCAAAAGCAGTCCACTACTAACCTTTTTATGCTGTTTAACTTAACACCGTGAACCACATGTTCCCATTGCTGAGTGATGGTGGGAATGCTGAAGTGCACCATCTGTGCATTCTTTTTATATATCTCTGTTCCATATTTCCTGATGGTCATAACTATAGTATATGTCTCAAAATACTGTCATGGCTACATCCTCCTCAGAAAAACAATGACTGATTCTCATTAACGAGGTTTAATCTATTGGATATACATTCTGGTTATGATTTCGTTATTGTCTCATGGTGTGATTGAGTTATGGTACATGACTTTTCTGCCCTCAGGTACAAATGCTTGGAACTGGAAAATCTGACATTTCCATGGGAAAGTCTGACATTTCAAAATTAGTTTTCATTCCACATCAGAAAGAAATACTGCAGTTTCCCATAATTTTGATGCAGAACTCTCAAAATGTTACGTGTTGATACTGTCAGAACATAATATATTGTAAAATATTAAATATAGTGAACGTAATATAATATAAAATGTAATCATACATGTAATAAGATCAGTATGTTAATAGAATCTGAAAGTCTAAACAAAATGTTTCAAAAGGAGAAAAACCAAAATATTTTTAATCTTGTCAAAATTAAATGAGAAAGTCAAAATGATTTGACATTTTTCCATTGAAAATTTTACATGTTCCCACAAAAGATTGCAATTTTGACTAAACTGCATTTTTGTATGGAAAACTATTCCATCAAAAAATTTTCATCCAACTCGGGCTATCTAGCCATCCATTAATCTAACAACATAGCAGTTCCTTTATCCTGTCCTCATGCATCCCAATTTCACATCCAGTGCTCACTAATGGGGCCCAATCCTATTTCTAGTTAATTCCCATTAACTGTGGTGTCTGCAAAATCTAGCCTATCATGTTTTGCAAAGTCACAGCCTGGTTTATTTAAGGAATTCAGAAAACTTGTATCCTGGAAACAAGGAATTGTCTTTTTTTGAAGTTTCATGTTGTGTTTTCTGTCCTTAAAATTAGGTATCAAGAAATAAAACTATTTCAGGACCATCACTCTTCAAAATTCATATTCCATTGTTTCTAATGGTAAAAGTTTCCCTTTACAAATACTTGAGAATCTACTCAGATTCTTTTCCCTCATCTGTTTTTAACCTGTGGGGTAAATACACTGTTCTGCTACATAGACATACATAGAGGTGTTTAAATTAGCATGTTTCCTACATCGCCTGTAGGACAATACTCTTCTGTCAGATCCACCCATAGTAAATTGCTACAGTGTTCCACCATCGCACTGGTGACAATAGGTGATCCAGACAAATAAGAAGAACAGAATACCTATGAGCTTGCTCAAAAAGCCAACTAAAGTCATGGAAAGACTCTGACTGACTCAATGGGCTTTGAATCAGATGCTAGATTCAGTACTGCAGATGTGAGAGGTGTTCTTTTCTTACAAAGCTGTCTGGTAGTTAGCAAACTGTCTAACCATGTGTTTTGAACCTTAGGTAAAATCCCTGGCTACTTCCTGTCCTGAAGAACTGCAAAAAGGAAATGTATTGGCCTGGCCGGATTTCCTGCCAGGGGTTGTTGGAAGAGTGAAGATAGATTACAGGAGCATGTTTTGTGCTGGTTAGAACTTTATCTCGTACAAGTGTTTTTGTTCCGAGTAATAACACAGTAATACTTTTTATAAGGTTAAATGTGCTATATTGTGACCCCTGTCCTACTAGCCTTGAATAAATTATTTTGATAATTTAATGGTTGGAACATTCAGTCTTCATTCCTAAAATTCCAGTGTTTTATAACAAAAGTTCATTGGAATCTCAAACAGAGAATTATGGCTTCCTGTATTGAGATGTTGAAAGAGTGATGATTGATGATCTTGGATCAAATGGAGGATTTTTCCACTTATTCATGCTCACGATAGTTTGAATATATTATGGTACCTTTTTGTTTCCTCCTTTTGCTTGGAAATATCTTTTAGTTCATATATGTTGATGTAGTGAAACTCTTTGAATCTGGAAAGAATGTATGCATTTTATAGTATAACACTTTCCATTAATATCATTCCTAGATATGACAGTATCACAGATACTTAAATAACAAATACATTTGTTTTGATTCAAGGCTAACTCTGTTGTGTGTGTGTTTTGTCCTCAGATTGCCAATCCTTAGAAGGATCCATACCTCATCTGCAGGCCTCATCGACCGATTTAAAGCCAGGGTCAAAAGTGAGCCTTTCCTGTGATCCAGGCTTCCAAATAGTGGGGAACTCTGTCCAGCACTGTCTAAATTTGGGACAATGGACTCGACCTCTTCCCCGCTGTGAAAGTGAGTAGATTGTGTTAGCATAGCATCTGCAGGCTGCTATATCAGTCACAAGCCACGCTTAGGAAATCTTGGCTTCTGTTTGGATGCAATTAAAACAAAGACTTCTGAGAATGTAACACAGACCTGATGATTTATCCAACGTCTCACAGTTTGCCAAATCTTGCCCCTTAGATCATAAGCAAATTTGGAAAAAAGCTTAAAAAATCAACTGTATCTGACTTTTTTTTTTTTTTTCAGCAATGGTGAGACTGAGGCAGCCATGTGGCAAAATTCTGCTCATGCTACATCTGATTTCATAGTATTTGGGGAGGTGGTGTGGTGCAGTAGATAGGGCATTGGACTGGTACTCAGCAGTGTGGGTTTGATTCCCAGCCCTGTCACTGACTTACTGTGTGACCTCGATTTCTCCATCTGTAAAATGGGGATAATTATACTTCCTTTCTTTGTAAAATACTTAGAGATCTATGGATGAAAAGCGCAATATAGGCCTGATCCAAAGCCTATAGGAGTTCATAAGGATCTTTCCACTGACTTCAGTGAGCTTTGAATCAGGCTCTATGAGGGCTGGGTTATTACTATTAGCTTGATCCACTGGGAGTCTTTCCTTCCTTACTGCTGTCAAAGGCTTGTGTCCTCTTACCCTGACATTCATCCTTTGGTATTATCATTCATGAAATTGACAGAGTTCTATCTGACTGTGGTAGTTACATGGCCTCCGTTATCATGATATCAAGCATCTCGCAACCTGTGGTGTTTTTATCCTCACAATATCCCTGTGAGGTAGGGAAGTGCTGCTATACCCATTTTACAGACGGGGAACTGAGCCACAGAGAGACTTATGGGCCAGATTTTTAAAGGTATTTATAGGCACTTAGCTCCCATTGCACTCTGGTCCTAAGTGACTTGTCCAAGGTCACACAGTCTGTGGCAGAGTAGGGAATTGAATTGAAAAAACATCCCCATACCTGAAACTGATTAGCAGCCTGGTTGGCACTCTCAGGCATAGAGCCTGAGATTCCCTCTCACTTTGAGACATGTCCCTTGTGCACCTGAGTTGAGACATTGACTAGGGATGTGTGGAGAAACTTGCCTTTTTGCTGGTGGTGCTGACCCTCTTCTGTGGACAAACAGAGGACTTCAGTCTCTAGGGCTGTCAGACCTTCACCTTTATGAACATTCTATTCACATACACATGTTTTCATATGCAGAGAAAGTGTATTAATCCTCAGAGGCTCTTTCACTACAGTCTTCACTGTGCATTTCTTCTTCACAGCCCGTTACTAGAAAATCCTAGCTGTAAAAGCTAAACTTTAAGGGCCAAAGTCATCCCCGATATAGCTTCTTTGACTTCAGTGGAGCTACACCAGGCATGTATTTGGCTCTGAGATTTCTTCATGAGTTGAATCTTGTGCTAACTGCACTGGCGCCAAGAGGTAGTTCATGGAATGTGTCTGATCGGCTAACAAGTTTTTACTCTCCTTGCCTGTGGTGTGTAGGAATCAGCTGTGGAGTGCCTCCACCTTTAGAAAATGGATTTTATTCTGCTGAGGACTTCTTTGCGGGTAGCACAGTTACCTACCGGTGCAATAATGGCTATTATTTGTTGGGGGATTCAAGGATGTTCTGCACTGACAATGGAAGCTGGAATGGCATCTCGCCATCTTGCCTTGGTGAGATATGTCACTTATCGTGTCTGTATTATTGATGTTACAGGCTAAACCCTGCTCCTCTTCCTCTCCCAAAACTCCCATTGACTCCATTGGGAGATGGATATTGGTAAGACTTGCAAGATAGGGCCCCATGTGGTTTACATTTGAATTGTGTTTATTTTATTTTAATGTTTGTAGTGCTCATCTCACAGACTAGGCTCATTAAGTCATCAAAGAACATGAAGTCCATGTTAAAAGCAAAGCCAAAACTCTTCCAGTCCAACATAAGCTCCCTTTATGCATGACCTCCATTGCATACCACAGCCTCCAACAGACTCCTTTACCATCTCCAAACTGATCTCACCCCATCAGTTGTTCTACCCTCTCACTATTCCCTCCCTCACAGAAAAAGCCTGTGAAAACAGGTCCATTTTATAACAGGTCCTAAGTTCACCATATCTGGGCCCTGCCAAGCCTTGCATGGTTTCTGAAGGGCTCGGAACCCAAGTCATAGGATGTTAGAAGCCAAGACCTTGCACTACATGCCAGGGGTCTGAATCTCCACTGACTGGCACATTGTGTAGTCATTTACACGGGTGAAAAGTGAGAGTGCATTGGGTGGGGAAACCAGCGTGCCTGATTCCTCATTGCCCTGCACCTTATGCAGTCATTTACACCAGTTTAAAGTGGATGTAAAATGTGACAAGATCAGAATAGTAATTATTTACGTGCCCATTGCTGTAGTGTAAATTTACGTGCCCACTGCTGTAGTGTAAAAGGTGCAGCGTGTTGGAGGAGCAGTCCCTACCATTCTGATTTGATAGCATTTTATATCCACTTTGAGCTCTCTTGACACAGGTATAAGTTGGTTACAGTGCGTGCAAGGCAGTTGGGAATTAGACTCCCCATATGTTTTATCTCTTAGGATTTTTCGTCGCCATGCACCAATGTGAAAAATCTTTTCCGTTTAGAATTATTGTTTGTATTGGATTGTTTGGTTAAATGGTTGAGAATAAGTACACACTTCTAAAGAGTAGACAGCCCTACTTTTGTTTGTTTGTTGCCCCGTCACTCTGCATTGTTTGCAGAGACTTGGATAAATGCTTTGCTGACAATAACCATAGCAATGTGTTTGCATTTATGGAGCCCATGCAACAACTGTTCTGTTGAGTAGTTCTTAATGAAGAATTTTCCTGCCCCAAAAGGGTCTGGTTTATATAAGGAATAATCGCTGATGCTGGGGATTTTTCAGTGAGATAGTTTTGAACCGTTCCCTACAATATGTAACTTGTATACATACCAAGCATGTTTCTCCACAGTAGAAAGCCAGTGATTAGAATATGAAATGAAACAAACTGGGGCAGAGACTGTCTCTTTTTTTGGATTGTTGGTGACAGCGCCTAGTATACTGGGGCTTAGATCTTTGATAGAGGTTCTTAGGCACTATCATCATTCATAGAATATCAGGGTTGGAAGGGATCTCAGAAGGTCATCTAGTCCAACCCCCTGCTCAAAGCAGGACCAATCCCTGGACAGATTTTTACCCCAGTTCCCTAAATGGCCCCCTCAAGGATTGAGCTCACAACCCTGGGTTTAGCAGGCCAATGCTCAAACCACTGAGCTATCCCTTCCCCCCCATAATTCACATAATTAATAATAGTAATTATAGATTTCTACCTCATTTTAACCTTTCCGATATCAGACAGCTCCAAACATCTTAGCAGGCTTCTAATGCAGTAAGAGTCTATTCAGCACAGAAAGGACTGTCTCTGTTTTATGGTCAAAGTGCGTACCTTGTGAGCTAAGCACTCATGTATGTATCGCATTTTACAGATGAGAAAGCTGAGACATAAAGAGGGATTAGAGTA